ACAAGAGGGCTTACACCTGATAAAAAAGAGTGCAGTGCTTGCACAAGAAGCCCTCTCTTACCACGCCGTACTGTAAATTTCCTTGTGCAAGATCAGGCGGGTACTTGCGCAAGAATGGCTGTACTTGCGCAAGAAGCCATGAGTGCAGACATAGCCTAAGAGAACCAAAAAAGTGCCACCCTGGCTTAACAACCAAGTAAAAGAAGCAGTGAAAGATAAAGAGACAGCTTTTTAAAAAAATGGAAGTTAAATTCTACTGAGGAAAATAGAAAGGCAAATAAACTCTGTCAAATTAAGTGTAAAAATACAAGAAAAGCCAAAAAGGAGTTTCAAGAACAGCTAGCCAAAAACTCAAAAAGTAATAGCAAAATGTTTTTTAAGTACATCAGAAGCAGGAAGCCTGCTAAACAACCAGTGGAGCCCCTGGATGATCAAGATGCTAAACGAACACTCAAAGACGATAAAGTAATTGTGAAGAGACTAATTTAATTTTTTGCTTCAGTTTTCATGGCTGAGGTTGTTAAGGAGTTTCCCACACCTGAGCCATTCTTTTTAGGTGACAAGTCTGAGGAATTGTCCCACATTGAGGTGTCATTAGAGGTGGTTTTGGAACAGACTGATAAACTTAAGAGTAACAAGTCACGGGGACCAAATGGCATTCACCCGAATTCTAAAAGAACTCAAATGTGAAATTACGGAACTATTAACTATGGTGTGTATCCATTAAATCAGCTTCTGTACCTAATGTGACGCCAATATTTAAAACGGGCTCTAGAAGTGATCCTGGCAATTACAGACTGGTAAGTCTAACATCAGTACAGTGCAAATTAGTTGAAACCATAATAAAGAATACAATTGTCAGACACATAGATGAACATAATTTATTGGGGAAAAGTCAACATGGTTTCTGTAAAGGGAAAACATGCCTTACCAGAGTTCTTTGAGAGGGTCAACAAACATGTAGACAAGAGTGATCCAGTGGATTTAGTGTACTTAGATTTTCAGAAAGCTTTTAACAAGGCCCCTCACAAAAGGCTCTTAAGTAAAGTTAGTTTTCATGGGATAAAAGGGAAGGTCCTCTCATAGATTGATAACTAGTTAAAAGACAGGAATCAAAGGGGAGGAATAAATGGTAAGTTTTCAGAATGGAGCGGGCTAACTAGTTGTGTCCCACATGCGTCCGTACTGGGACCAATCCTATTGAATCTATTAATAAATAACTTGGGGAAAGGGGTAAACAGTGAGGTGATGAAATTTGCAGATGATACTCAACTGCTCAAGATAGTTAAGACCAAAGCAGACTGTGAAGAGCTTCAAAAAGCTCTCTCAAAACTAAGTGATTGGGCAACAAAATGGCAGATGAAATGTAATGTTGATAAATGTAAAGCAATGCACATTGAAATATAACCTCAACTATACATACAATATGATGGACACTAATGTAGCTGTAACTACTCAAGAGTGAGATTTTGGAGTCACTGTGGATAGTTCTCTGAAAACATCCACTCAATGTGCAGCGGCAGTCAAAAAAGAAAACAGGTTAGAAATAATTAAAGGGATAGAGAATTAGACAGAGAACATTTTATTGCCTCTACATAAAACCATGGCATGCCCACATCTTGAATATTGTGTAGATGTGATCACCTCATCTCAAAAAAAGACATATTGGCATTGGGAAAGGTTCAGAAAAGGGCAACAAAAATGATTAGGGGTTTAGAACGAGTCCCATATGAAGAGAGATTGGGATAAAAAAGAGTTAAAGAGACTGGGACTTTTCATCTTAGAAAAGAAGAGATTAAGAGGGGATATGATAGAGGTCTATAAAATCATGACTGGTGTGGAAAATTGAAAAAAGAAAAGTGGTTTACTTGTTCTCGTAATATAAGAATTAAGGGTCACCATATGAAATTAAGAGGTAGCAGGTTTAAAACAATCAAAAGGAAGTTTTACTTCATGCAGCACAGTCAACCTGTGGAACTCTTTGACAGAGGATGTTTTGAAGACCAGGACTTTAACAGGGTACAGGAAAGAACTAGATAAATTCATGGAGATTAGGTCCACCAATGTCTATTAGCAAGGATGGGTAGGAATGGTGTCCCTAGCCTCTGTCAGAGGCTGGGAATGGATGATGGGAGAGGGATTGCTTGATGATTCCCTGTTGTGTTCATTCCGTCTGGAGCATCTGGCATTGGCCACTATCAGAAGATAGGATACTGGGGTAGATGGACCTTTAGTCTGACCCACTATGGCTGTTCTTACGACCTAATGTGGATGTTTGACCTAAATTCCCAGTTGTAGACCAGGCCTCAGAGGAAAATTCTTGTGACTGAATGATCTAGAAACTTCTTGAGTCTGTAGATTCCTGAGTGGTCTCCTATCTACATAAAAACAGGATTACCATTACTTAGCCTCCTCCCCACTGTCTCCAGAAGGCAGAGCAATCATGGCTTAGTTACAATATGTTGTCTACACTAAAAACTTAAGTTGACCTATATTAGGTTGACTTACATCCACCACAGTAATTACTGAGGTGATGTGCGATTGGCCCAACTGCTGAATTCGTGCACAACTGTAAGCACGGAACCTCCCTATATTGTAATGACATATTTGGCCTTGGCCATTCAGCTGTCTTTCCATCACTAGTGGGGTCAGCATGGCCACTCCGCTTACCAAACGCACCAAAGAAGAGCAGTGTGCAGTGATTCAATTTTTGTGGGCTGAAGGTGTAAGAGGTGTGGAAATTCATCGAACACTATCAGCACAGTATGGTGAAAGTGTTTTGCCGCAGCGAAGTGTGTACGAATGGATTGACATGTTAAAAAATGGCTGAACAAGTGTCACTGACGAAAAACGATCAGGGCGCACATCCACATCGACTACTGAAAGGAACATTGAACAAGTCCGAGTGCTGATTCTCGAAAACAGGAAGGTGACTGTTGATAAATGGCAAACCAAGTGCAGATTAGTCTGTGTATGAAATCATCCACCACAAACTTCGCTTCAGTAAAGTTTGTGCAAGGTGGGTTCCCAAACAACTCACAGAACATCACAGACATAACCGTTTGGACATCTGTAACTGCCTTTTGAACCGGTATCGTGAGGAAGGTGACACTTTTTCGAGTCGCATTGTCACTGGTGATGAAACATGGATCCACCACTATGAGCCGGAAAGCAAATGTCAGAGACACCCCTCAAAGATGCTTTAAGAGGCCGTTGTTTTGCCAGCAACCATGATTTGTAGGAGGCGGTGCATATATGGCTTGCTAACCAGCCTAACACATTTTTTTCTGAAGGCATAAAAAAGCTTGAGACACGCTGGACCAAGTGTGTTGAAAAACAGGGGAACTGTGTTGAAAAATGATACACTTATGAGCAGGGCTTGACAAACAATACAATCTACTCACCCATGGCAAGTAGATTTCAGCCGCGTGCCCCATTCATTCACGGTGCACGCATGCACATTGTGGCTCTTTTGCATGCACAGTATGGTGCTGGCGAGCAGTTTTCGCCACCGTTCATCAAGCCCTGCTTATAAATTCTGTATTGCTGTTGTGTTAATTTTAATAAATACACTGCGGATACTTTTTGACTTTCCCTCGTATGTCCTAACCAGGAGTACCTCCACTGACCTAATAGGGGAGCTGACAGCCTATCAGGAGCTGGGTTGGTCCTCAGATTCTCAGTTGGTCCTCAGATTCCACCTTGTTGCCCTGTTTCGCATAAGGGAAAACTGCCCAGGGCTTCTCACTTCTCTGTTCCATGCCAAAAGCAAGGGGAAACCAGATGCGCCAGGCTTTTTACCCCAAGGGAGTGGCATCCAGCTGTTCCAGATTCTTGGTTCCACTCTGCTGGGAATGGGATCCAGGCAGGCTTTTCAATTTCATGACTCTTGTATGGAGTCATATAATTAACCAAACAGCCAATGTTCCCAGCTAAGAGTGGGAAAGACACTTGGAGATTCTAGCCTCCCTGTTTCCTACCAGGAGTGAGGGTTAGCTTCACAGACTTCTCGCCCCCTCTGATTGGTTTCCAGCAGGGAGCAGGGTCTACCCACCCAGGTTTGTTGCCCCATGCTGGGAGAAGAGTCCAACCCCCAGGCTTGCTGTCCCAAGCTGGGTGCAGGGTTCAGCTATGCTTCCAGCTGGGGACTGTGATCCATCCACCCAGGTTTCTTGCCTAGGCTTCTCACCCCAGCTGTTAGTTGGGGGTGGGGTTAGCCACTAGGTTTCTCTCCCTGGCTCCCAGTGGGAAGGGAGTCTAGCTGCTTGTGGTTGCCAGCCAAGTTAGGGATACAGTCTTGCCCTGATCCCAGTCAGAAGTAGGATCCAGTGTGCAACTTTCTAGGGAAGTGGTGGGCTCTGGAGGCCAGGCTTTCTTGTTAATTTCACTGCTGGAGTTGTGAAATTGACAAGAGAGTTGACAGATGGTGTAAATAATACAGTGTCCATACAGATACTGCATCACCTTAACTACACCAACATTAGCCCTATGCCTCTCATAGGGGTGGAGTTATGTCAGTGTAGTATGTCACTTACATTTGTGGGTCTAGGGTGTAGTGTAGACAGTGACATAATTAGGTCAAAATAAGCCGCCTTATGTCAACCGAACTGTGTAGTGTAAACCAGCCTAAAATACAGGGGTCTTAATCTTTTTCATACTGGGGGCAATAGAGTGTCCTTTCAGATCTTTTCCCCTCCCATTTGTGATTACATGGCTTACCTCATCTGTTATCCACACATACAGCACCCCCTTATCAACTATAGAAATTGCTTACATGGAAATGTGGTTTAAGGAAAATATTTCTGAATTTTCAGCTGTCTTTATATGTTCTCAAAAAAGGTTAAACGTTGCAATAATCAGACTTTATACTTTGGCTACTTGCTTCATTTTGCCATATATATCAGTGATTCTCTAACTTTTGTACTGGTGACCCTTTTCACATAGCAAGCCTCTGAGTGTGATTCCCCTTCTAAATTCAAAACACTTTCTCAATGACTCACCTCTGACTTCTACTAAAAAACACCCTGCAGGTGGGAGTATAAAAACAGAGTACTGCCAGCCTTGCTGCTGTGTATTCAACAGGAGCTGCTCCAGCCTGGGGGTGCGGAGAGGCTGATGGTCAGCTGTTCATGCAGTCCTGAGGCTGGCTATCAAACAGCTGTTCAGTGGGCCACCTTTGCTCTAGTATCTTTGAGGAAGACTGCCAGCTAGTTGTTTCAGCAGCCGCTGCCCTGTGGCTGGATGTTGTGCCAGCAGCCAACTGACAGCTGCTCCTCTAGCTCTGCCCTAGAAGTCAACCTCAAAGGTCCTGCAAAGTCCCAGAATCCACGACAGAATCATCATACCCTTATCCACGATAGAATCATCATACCCTTATCCACGGTACTTAGTGAAGTCAGCTAGACTTTCCTCTTTCCAGAGGCTTTTATAGACCCTGAGGATCTTTGCAAAACAGAGACCAGAGTCACTCCAAGACCATGGGACCAGAGTACCAGCTCTTTGCAGACTAGCGGCAACGAGATGACAGCAAGCGATGAGCATGCCAGTGCGGGAATCACACCCCAAGAGAGGTGCCTGAGCCCAGCATACCATGACCCATCTTGATCCAAGACACGAGGGAATACATATGCTGCACTACGCCTGGGCATGAGCTGGGCCTGTTGGTAGCTGTCACCCTGTGGCTCAGGCTCTCGCTGTGCCCACCCTGGCCTTCCACATGGCGGGGGCACAATAATGAGCTGGGGTCTCTGGCAGGTGCAGCTCCCTCAGGCCTCCCCTCTCATTCTGTTCCCATTAATTTTCCCGCCTCCCACCTCCATATGCCGCAGCATCCGCCCAGACACAGCAGCAGCGTCAGGCCTCGAGCGCCCCATAACAACTCCAGAGCTCGCGCCATGGGCCCCCAACCGCCACCCATATAGTCACGTGACACCGGATCCGGCGGAGCGGGGGAGGGGGAGACTTCAACGGACTCCGCCGCCGTTGGAAGGGAGAGGCGGCAGCAACTGCCGCGCTCCCTTTAGCCCACAGGATCCCTCCCCCTGGATCAGCCCTTGGCGGCAGCAAGGCTTGTTCCACCGTTCTCGCAGGTGCGGCTCACAGGGACTACTCGCCCCATCCGGCATAGCGCAAGCGACATGCGGCTCTCGGCGGGGAGCGGCCCCGCTGCATGCCGGGAAACGTAGTCCCTTGCCGCGAGGGCGGGTGGAGACGTCAATCTATGCAGATAAGGGGGCGGAGCTCCGGGAGGGGAGGGAGTCGGGGGCCGCCACCTGGATGCGACTGCGACAGTTGCAGTTACAGTATTTCCCGACCAGGCGGTGGAGGAGGCGGGGTCTGCGGAAGCGGCGTTGAGCGCGCTCCTGCCGCCTCATGTGTGCCCTGCCCCGGGAGCAGGAAAGGAGCCTCTGGCGGCAGTC